GAGGACCACGGATGGGAGAAGCCGTGGCCAACCTGTACCTGACCCCAGTAGCCAGGGGGGTCCTCCTAGGCCCAGCGGCCCATAGACAGTGCCTGAGCTGAGGGGAGGAAACGCGGGGAGTTCCTGACCAGACAGTGCACGCTCAGCAAGGGCCACACTTGAGAGCAGAGGGGGGCCCCATGGCCAGCTGCTTCTCCCTTCCAGTCTGAGAACCACCTTGATACGGTGCTCAGCATCGAGCCCGGCCCTTCGGATCTTCCAGGACCTCTGACCTGCACCTGTGATGGGCGAGTGTCTGTTTTTGAAGATCTTGGAGAGGCAATGATCCCTGGAGGCATGTGGGGCAGAGGGGGGACCCCAACCCTAATCTGCTATTTAGCAGTCACAGGTGATCTGATGGGCTGCTCCTGCAGGGGCCCGACAGGTCCTGCTGGACAAAGCCCACTCACTGTGTGGGGCTGCCCTCTAAACCAGGGACGGCCCTGTAGAGAAGCCACGGTGCACTGGTGCCAGTCACCTTCAGCAGATCTAGCGACAGGAGCTCAGGGTTGGCCAAGTCCCAGCAGCAGGCATGGCTAACGTGTCCTCCCACGAAAGCATGCGTCAATTCCTTTAAACTGACCAGCAGCGAAGCACAGCAAGAACCAACCCGGGAGCTGCCCGCTGAGCCTGTACCGTGCGAGGCAGAAAACAAGATCTCGGTGCCCTCCCAAGGCAGCCAGGGCCAAGAGCCCACGCGGCTCTGGAGTGACCACCTACTCACATCACTGCCAGAGTGGGTCGGGGCCATCAGGGCGGTGTCCTGCGGCAAGGTGAGTTTACGGAGATCCCCAGGCAGCCATCTGTGCCCACCTGGGGACGGAGCGGGTTTGCTACCAAGGGGCAGAGAGGCTGCTGCAAGGGACAGAGAGCTGTAGAAAGAGGCCAGAGGACAATGGGGCCGATAGAAGCAGCACTGTCAGAGCAGGCCCAGTCCTGGCCAGGTGCCTCCAGTGACTGTGACCTCTGGTAGCCACACTCCCACAAGCCCCAGAGGCAGTTCAGTTCCTTGCCGCCCTGACAGACAAGGACAGAAGCACAGAGCAGGAACACACTGGCTCCAGCATGCAGCGGGCGGAGCAGCGAGTGGAGCTTGTGGCTGCCCTGGGTGAGTCCCTGGGCCGAGACCCGCTGCCTTCCCGGGAGCAGTGTGGAGAACCCAGAGACAGCCTCAGCCTGGTGCCACAAGCTGCGGGAACAAAGGGTGCAGCTGGCGCAGGCTGCTGGGTTTTCTCAGGGCAGGAGCCAGGGGCACTGAGAATAGGGACAGCCTAGGGGGCTGAAGGTGCAGAACAATGACCCAGAGCCCCAGTGGGGGAGGCGGCTCCTGGATTTGGAAGGGAGGCTTGGCGGGAGGAAGGGGCCTGGGAGAGGCCTGCTATAAGCCCCTTCCTGCTCCCAGATGCCAGAATGGCTGGACCGCACATGTCTACGTCACACCACAGGAAGAGATGCCCCGGGAGTCACAGAATGCCAGCCCTCGCACACGCCGGCTCAGGTACACCAGCCTCCAGGGGCCTCCCTTGCCCTGACCACAAGTTGGGCTGCGATGCTCCTCACAGATGCTTCTCCAAGAACAGGGTGGCTGGGCGACTCTGGTGCTCCCGACTCCAAGGGCCCCACAAGGGCCTCTGTGACACACTACAATCACAACGACTGTCCTTTTACACCATGATCTTTCCTGGCCCCCCATCTGAAGGCAAAGAGCGAGTCTCGACCCCCTGTGAACTCCAAATGTAGCCCCCGAGCTTACACAGCACCTGCCTGTCACATCAGCTTACTCCAACTTTGGGATCCCGAAGGGCTGGAGCCCCCACTCTGCTGCCCAGACCCCTTCCCCAAACGCCCCTATGCTCTGAGGAGCCAGCAGAGCTGCATCTCCCCGGGCTGGCTCCACCTAGAGGTGGGAAGTGGTGTAGCCCAGCTGCCCTGGGGGGCCTTCTCCAGCATCCTCCCATCTGAGGGTTCAAGAGTTGCAGACCCTCCAGGCCAGTGGCCTATGCTCTGAACAGCACAGACATCAGTGTGCAGAGGATGCCTCAAAGCCGAGGGTCTCTGAGGAAGCACCTGTGGGAGGCACCTCCTTCCTCATACTCTCAAGTGGTTGAAAGGTTTGTCCTGGGGCTAATTTCCACCCAGGAGATGGGTGCCCCATCGAGCAGTGGTAAGTGAGAGACTAACTCTGGTGACCCCACTGTCACCAGTCAGCCTCTTAACAGCCCTGAGGAGTCCTCAGCTGGGCCCTCAGGTGGGGGGCCCATGGTGCTTTATCCATCTAGTGGCTTCAAAGACAAATAGCTGGAGGCAGAAGCAGACCTCCCAGGGAGGGAGGCAGGAAACCCAAGCTGGGCTGCCCCTCGGCTGAGCCTCCTGCAGGCCGCCAGCTTTGCTCTATGTTAGGAAGACAAGGGTGAAAATGGCGCCAGCATTACTGGATGTGCCCTTGCCACCCGGCACAGGGAGGCTCAGGAGGGAGCAAACCCTTGGCCACGAGTGACAACACGTGACAGCCACTGTTGGAAGGCTCTGCAGTTTGTGCCACAGCCAGCCAGGTCAGCGGGAATGAGAGCAGCCCCACCAGGTGCTGCTCACACGGGGCTGACCACAGCCCATTAGTCCTGCACATCTCTGCTGGCTTCGCCTGTCGCTCTGAACCGCTGGGTCACAGGCTGCACTTGGCCAGCAAACAGGAGCCCATCGTTTTTGTGCACAAAGCCAACCACGAAGAGGCAAGTGCTAAAATATCCAAAGCGTGGAAAAAAGAAAAGCCGACACTCTCCCTCTCCTCTCCAAAGGGCACAGGAAAACAAGTCCACTTCCTAGGCATTCCTGCTCCCTGGAAGGATGACATACTCATGTACTGCCAAGGAGGGACACAGCTGGACTGAGGATCTGAAGACCGCCACCTGTTGGCTGGGAGGCAAGGTGGCTCCCCAGCAAGCAGCAAGCACCCCTGGTCCAGGGTGCTTTCCTTTAAGGCAAAGGTGACCTCCCGCAAGGCTCAGCAACCCTGCCTGGGGCAAGTGACTACAGGCACACTGTCCAGTCTCCTGCTGCCTCCAACACACCCAAACCTGCTGCACAAGTGGCATTTGCACAGCTGAAAAGCTACAGGGGATGCCAAGCCCCTGCCCCCACCCTGATGAGGAAGAGTCATAATGCCACACAGAACGTATGATAAGGCACAGGGATGACAACTGCTGCTATGGGACAGATCATTTGACAGAGAATTCGCTTGCTGGCAGACTTCCGACTGCAGACTTCTTCAGCACTGGCTGGCTGCCATGCCAAGGAAATAAAAATCAATATCCTCGGGTCTGCAAAACAGTGTGTTAACAATCACACTCCAAACAACTCACACAATATCCCTCGCCCTAGACCCAAATAACAGTGCATGTTTTTGTTAGGAGGCAGTGCTAAATAAACAGAAAGGAGGGGGAAAAATAAGGCAATTTTGCAGGTCCTCCTTCAGCAAAACCTTTCCACAACTTCAATGAGGAGATAATCTTTCTGTGATTATGACCAAACCTTCCCGTTGCTTAGCAACACATAATTAAGGAATATGTTTTCAGATCCGCTTTGCAAGCCCAGCCATTATCAGATGAAATTACTGGAGCAACAAATGTCATCGCCATGCAAATTAGTTGGTTGCAAAGAAAGACTGGCGGAGAGAGAAGGCGCAGGCCCTCAGAAAAATTATCTGACTCGCCTCCTCTCGCGCATTGATTAAAAGTCAAGCAAAGTATATGATCAGACTTAAAAAAAAAAAAAAAAAAAATCCACATGACACACAACCAGAATCTCCAGCAAGAGAAAAGCAGAAAAATTACTTGGTCTTTCTTTGGAAGAATGAAGAGCCTAGAGGACCCCTCTGGGACAACAGTGGCCATGACAGTGACCCGGGGCTCAGCTGATCTGGGGGAACCTAGGAGGGCACGACCCGGTTCCTGACACCATCTGCTACCGTCAAAAGGGTGCATCTCGCTTTTCAGCATGGTTCCACCCTCTGCCCAATAATGCCAGTTACTGAGGAAAAAAAAAATTGTTCATTCGATAAAGGATTCACTACGTTGGGAAGGCAAAGGGAGAAGAAAGGAAGAAAACGGATTTACGGTGTCGATTTTCAATCAAGATTCTAAAATTAAAGTTAGAAATTCTGATGGCTCAGGTTAGCAGCCTAGAAGTTTAGGCCCAGCCCAAGGAAACACAGGCAGTAAATCACATGTGGCTTGTGCTTTGAAGGAAACCAGTGAGCACCAACCTCCCTTTCCTCAACTTGGAAATATATTCTTCCCTACAAGCAAACAGAATTCCCAACTGTATTTCCCAAAACGAGAGACTAAATCTGTTTTTGAAACACGGAGTTCTAAGGGATTTCAACATCTTGCTTTGTTTAACCCACAAGTGTGGAAACACACATTTTTATCTTTATGGTGGGTAATCCCTATCTTCAAGAGCGCGTGCAGGCGCTGTGGAGGTACCCTTCCACACCATGATGTGCTCCTAAATGGTACAGGAACGGTGCAGGATTTATGGGAGGTGTTTGATCAAACCTCCCTGCCTTTTCCAAAGCCACCCAGGGCAAACTGGACAATCGCCAAGCCTTGTGCACGGAAGGTCACAGCCCGTACTGAATGAGTCTCTCCAGGAAACAGCTCCAGCACTACAAAGGGAAATCCGCAAAGCAACCTGGACTCCACAAGAGATTGGCGAGGTGCTGCCGCCCCAGAGGGCCAGCCTGTTAACGTGACTCTACTGAACCCAGGAGAACCCATGTCCGTTGGCTAGCCTTGGAACTGGACCCGGCACTGTGGCCTTCCAGCTTGGCAGAGCGAGACGATGTGGGTATATGTGCCCACGGCCCAAGTGGGACCTGTAGGAACCCATCTCCCTTCTCAAAGCTCTGCCTCCCTCCCACATCCCCAGGGGCCCTGCCAGGAGAGATGGGAAGGGTGCATTACTTGGCTCCGGTGTGAGCATGGTGGACACGATGATGGGTGCTCCAGTCCGCCGGGCTACCTTCTGGTATGGTGAATGAGGTGTGTGCAGGCTTTGGCTGACTGGCGTCAGGGTCGATGACTCCATGGAGACCCCAGGCTTCCGCAGGAGCTGGGGGCTGCTGTGGGGGCTGGGAAGTGGAGAGGCGGCCATGCTGCGCTCCCGCTTCAGCAATTCCATGGGTACCGTGTACGAGGTGGAGTAGGCTGTTCTAGGGCCTGGGTGGAGGGGGGTCGAGGGGCCTGGGTTAGTCAAGGCCACCCCAGCCTGTGAGGGGTATGTGGGGCCCAGCCGTGTGGTCAGGGTGCAAGGCGTAGGAGAGCTATACCCAGAGTTGGAGGAGACTTGGGGTCCTTGGGGGGCCACCCCAGGGGCAGAGTAGGTGGCTGCCGTCTCCAGGAGATGCTGAGAGGGTGCACTGGAGGGGCGGCGAGCCAGGTCTCCAGCCCGGGGGGGTGCCGCTTGCAGGGGTGCGGTGCCCAGAGAAGCCAAGTCACTGGGCAGCAGTTCACTTCGGTGGCTGAAGCTGCTGGACCGTGTGCGGGGCAGGGGACCTGCCTGGTCCTGCCTCCGAAACTGCATCTCAGTCCTGCAGCTGCTGGCCAGGCGGCTCAGGACTCGGGCCTGGCCCAGGTTGGGCGCAACAGACTTGATGTCCGCATCCTCCAGGGTGGCCAGGACGGCTGGAGAGTCAAAGCCTTGCTGCAGCAGGGCTGCCAGAGTGGCCTCTGTGAGCCCCTCTGCCTGCAGCAGGGCCAGGAACTCAGGGAGCACATTCCTCTTGCCGAGGGGCCCCCGGAACGCCAACAGGTCAGCTTCATAATTCTCATAAGCCACTTTAGACTGGACGCTTTCCCCAGTAGGCCCGTAGCCTCGACTCAGAGGACCAGGGGTCACCCCTGTGCTGCTCTCAGAGGGAGCAGCCGAGCCAGGGTCCACGACCAGGCACGTTGGGGCCACCTGTCTGACAGGGGCAGAATCCACAGGTCTTTCGCCAACATCATTGTAGACCTGGCTTGGCGGGTAGGCAGGTCCCTCTGCCCCAAACCTGGTGTCCGGCAGTTCCCTTCCATACCGACCAGGAGACGGGGCCCTGCTCTGTGGCCGCTGCCCCTGAGGCATCATTTTGCCCCCAGGATCCTGGTACAGGTGCCCGGTGTCCTGCAGGGCAGGTAACTGGCCTTGGATATGCTCCCACGGCACTCTGCTGCCGAGCACTCCGTAGCTGGGCACGGGCCGGTTGATACCTGCGTCCCGATAGTAAGGCGGCTCCCTGGGCACCCTAGTTCCTCTGGACGGGTCGCCATAGTAATCCCGCGGCAGCAGGGCGTGGCGACCAGACATCACGGCCTGTCTGCTGTCGTAGAGGGTAAAGTCAGGAGCAGAGCCCTTCCTTGCAGCCAGCGAATTGTAAAAGGCTTCCCGGTATAGGTAGGGTTCTGCGGGCCCTGGCAGGACAGCGTCCTGCGCTTGGTGGATTGGCGGTTCGCACCAGGTCCCCTCTCCAGGGCCATACGTCAAAGAGCTTCTCCTCCCTGGGGGGCGCGCGGCCTCGGTGTTCTCCCAGGGTCCCTGGTACCAGCCAGCAGCATCCCAGCTCTGCGATCGGCCAATATTGACGTGCCTGCTGGGAACCGGCATCGGTAGAACAAGTGACTGCAGACGAGGCGCGGGGGGATGGCTTTCTTCATAAATCTTCAATTACATACATCAAAACCAGACCTGGCTACACGTGAACCCTTCCGAGATGGCAGCAACAACCAACTGGGGGTTTCTGTTTCAAAGGATGGCCTAAATTATTTATCCTCGGCAACCTTAGTAGGCAAAGCAGCAGACTCACGGTAACTTTGCCTCCCTCCCCGGCGGTAGCCCGAGGTCTGTCCTGTGTGGCTGTGTTCCGGAAAGGAGGCTGGGTCCCCCTCCTGGCTTCTATGCTCACGTGGACCTTGGCTCTCAGCAGGCGGATTAGGAGCTAAATAAAACCCCTAAAGCTTTTGTTCCATGTGACATCTTGTTAGCCTGATGAAGCTGGTGCTTGCTCCACCCAGGCCTCCCAACCTGTGACTGGGAATTATCTCACACTGAACTTCCGGCTGAGGTCCCTCCTGCTCCCTCCCCAGGGTGCTTTGAGGTCGAGCTCAGCCTCTCTCCCCTCCACTCCCCTGGGTGATCCCCAACTGCCGCCCGGATTGCCTGAGAGCTACAGAAGCAAAATAAGACTGCTTCCATGTCAGCCCAGCCTTAATCCTCCCTGATGAAGCGCTAATCCACTGCACACGGCTAAGAACCGACCAACGTGGGCGGATGGGAGAGTCTCATGTGATTCTGGAGGGTGGGTGCCCTACCCGGGGGCCAGTCTGCAGCTACCACTCTGCCAACACGGGATATGGCTTTGAGGACGCTGCTGACAGATCAGAAAATAGATCCTTTCAAACCACTTGAGGAAAGCAGGACTGGTGACAGGGAAAGGGGGAGGGGGTGGGGGGCACACCCCTGCACACCTTCCAGCAAATGTGCCAAGGGTCAGGAGAAGCCCCATGGCAGCCACAGGACGGGCACCAGGGCATTCGCCACGAGATGGCCAGGAAACCACAAAGGCCGGCTGCATTTAAAAGGTTTTAAATAAAATCATAAACCAGCCCCGAGACGGCTCTGTCTCACCCACAGCCCTCTCAATCCAAGAAGCTTCAACTACTAAAAAATACTATTAAAAAAAAAAAAGTTAAAAATAACAATGTGAGAAGTAATACAGATGATTATGAAGTGGGAGGGTGGGCGTGATTCCATTTCCAGGAACTATAGCCCACGGGTGCCAGACCGTCATATCCTACCCACCCCGGGCACTTAACAATACGTATTAAATTTGAGACAAAGTCTGTTTAAACATTCACATTCCCCAAGGAAATGCACCAATTCACCCAATACCCAGAAATTCTGTGGCCACTTCTGGACTAGTGAGCCCCAGACCAAGTGCCACCAAGCCACCGGCCAGGCAATCCCAAGACCATGGCAGGTCAGTCATCAGCTCCATTGACCCCTTTCTGTTCAGAATATGGGCAGAGCTTTCTCCCAGCCAGAAAGGAGAGGTGCCCCATGGACAACCCTTCTGGGAAGGAGGACCAGCTACCTGAGGAGGAAGGCCCGAAACAGAGCATGAGCCCATGTCTGTCTGCTCACCAGCCTCTCCCAGTACTGAATTATTATTACTCGGGGTGCCGCCTCCACTCCAGAACCCGGGTTCTAGTCACACCTTCTTGTGTAGCGATCACCCAAACTACACAGCCTTGGCTCTGAAATTTGCCAAATATTATGACAGAGGTTTTCCTCTGTTAGGCAGAAACAACCTGAGTGAACCTGAACTCCATTTTTTTTTTTTTTAAACACATTGGGGTCTTTCAGAAAGAGTTACTGTCCTGAAATATCTCACATTGACCATGAAAGGCAAGAGGGGACCAATTTTGGAAAGACTCTCAAATCCTACTGACTTCTTAATCCTGCCAGGATCCTCTCAAGAGGACACTGTACAAACCAAAAATACAAGTATTCAATATTTTGAAAATTAAGAAAGACAACCTACACTCTTGCAGACAAAATAAACCCAAGGAAGAACTAATCTTGAAGGAGGACCAAATGGGCAACTCAGGGTTACAAGCTCACTCTTGAATGCACGGTGTAATGTCAGGCAAAAATTCACAACCACAGAGACCTCTGTGGAGAACGGGTCCAGACAGTTCCAAAAGAGTGGGGAGAACAAGAATGGGACCAGTGCCGGCTCACTGGAGCAGCCCCCAGACCAAGCCCAACACACGTTTTGTGCCTGATGGGGACTGTCAGATTGGAAAAGGCCAAGCTGAGGGGCCACCACTTAAAAAAGGGAGATTAGGCGGAATCAGCGAATCTCAAGGTCAGGCCAACAAGAAAGTCACCTAGCTCAAAGGCCTGTCCATTGACAGCTGTGTGGTTCCCTGCCCACGAGGTGGACAGATGCTGCCAGGTTGGTCACAAAGCCTCCTAGGAGAAGGTTTGTGCTCAGAAGACGGCCAGCCCCCACCTGGGGCGCTGTGGAGAGCTGCCTAGGGCTTCCACCCATAGCGCAGGCGGAAATGAGAAGCTCCCCAGGAGGGTTTTCCTGCACCTCCCCAGGGAGGAGGCTGAGGTTAGTGGGTTATGCACTGCTTTCCAGCAGACAGGAGGCCAAGAATAGGCCCAGACACACCTGCTTCCTACTTTTAAATGTGGACAGCCTGTGTGTATTTTTTGGAGGTTTCTGTCAAGATAAGTGTTCTAAAATTTAAATTTAAAAAGTGCCTTCTGCCTTTAAAACAATATTCCTTTAAAGAAGCCCCAGCCCCCACCCCCACCCCATCCCTACCAGAGTAATTTATACTTACTCATCTAACGCGCAAAGGCGGGGGAGCCCCAAAGGAGGAAGAAGCCACAGGAAGTCTGGCGGCCCTCATCAGCACCACACAGGCACAAACAGAAAGCAGAACCCTGCAGACACCACTGCAACCAGCAGAGGGACGGAGTGCAAGCTCCCAGGCTCAAGCACTAATGCCACTTTCCAAGGAGAGCAGTGAGCCAGGTGCACCTTACCCATCCAGCCCCTTGCAAAGGGCTGCACTCTAAGCAGGCAGCCCTGGTGTGACTCGCCCCTCAGTGAAAGCAGTGGCTAGCCCCGGACTTCAGGCCCACTTCTCCCACTCCACCTCCGGAGCTCTGGGAAGCGTGTTGCAGAGATTAAGTCTCATTCCCACTCACCAAGGGGCAAAGAGCCTGTCTAGAAGCGTCTGGTGAACAGCCATGCAGAGGGCACATCTCACTGGAACTGCAGGCTGCAAAGGCCACTCAGCTCCTGCCCACAGTGGGTGTCCAGCTCACACCCCTTCCCTCCTCTAGCACCAACACTTCCTGCAGCTCCCCAACCTCTCAGGCAACGACCCCAAGCCCCTCCACACTCCACTGTTCAATGCTTCCTCCTCAGAACTGGGCTCAGAACATTCCAGAATTTCGTTCTTCCTGTTTGGTTTGGATGCTCCTATTATTCCACAACCACCAGGACCCAGCTCAAGTAACCCTCCACCAGGAAGCCTTCTTGTTCAACTTTGTCACTCACTTTGTTCCCAGTTCAGATAAATCACCATCTACTGATGACAAATTCTCCCCGAGAACAATCCCAGGGATCTAGCTGCAGAGACAGGCCATGATCTCTCACGGGGGCTCGGAGCCTGGTCCCCCCCACGTGGCCTTCCGAAGCTCAACACTTGCTTTTCATTTCATTTGACTTGTGGGCCGTCAACCAACCTGCCCTGCAAGGTACTGTCTGGGGCATAGAGGATTCAAGGTGATGGACAGTCCCTGACCTCAAGGAAGGTACAGCTGGGTAGGAAAATGACAGACACCTGCATACGGTCCCCCTCCCTAGGACCGCTTAGTTGTCCGAATCTATGTGCATGAGGAAGCCCAAGCAGACCCAGTCGCAGGCACCACCAGGGCCTGGGCTGCAGCAGCCTCCTTCCTCACAGTGAAGCATGACCCGTCACCCGACTCACAGTCTTGGGAGGATCTGCTTCCCTCTTTCCAAGGTCATCAGTTCCTTCTGATGCCAGCTGAGTGAGAGATGTGGAGAGAGGGAAACCCACTGTACCCCAACGCGTATCAACATCCAGGACACTTCCCCCGACAGACTACCTCCCAGTCCAGTTAGGGGAGCGTAAGTCTCAGGGCGCATGTGATGTTCAGGACACTTACAGGTTCTGAGATAGCACAGAGAGGGCAGGACGCTGGCAGCCACGTATGTTTATCTCTGGGTTCTAGTTCACTCCAAGGACTTGGGAAGGCATGCGAGCCCAGAACCTTCTTCGCATTTGGGTGGGGCACTGTCTGCAGGGTGACTGCTGCCCCCAAAGGAAACATAAGCAGGGACTTTGCTGGATGCGCTGGTTCTTAGGAGGAAAACGGACACTCAGAGCTTGGAAGCGGACTAAGAACAAACTTACAGAGAGCAGGAGGCACTGTGCTGGTCCAGGAGCCGAGAGCAGCAGCCACAGACGCTGCACCACACACCTGCGAGCCCCAAAGCCAGGCCCGAGCAGCCTGCACATGCTGCAGATGTGGCAAGGGACAGACTGTGCCTCCAGCAAGCAGGAAAGTGCAGAGAAACAATCAACCAAAATTCAAACACTGAGCATGATTCTCGGAGCAGAAAGTGAGGGCCCAACTATGTGAGCAAATCTACAAACCCACTCCCCCAGCGACCGTGGGGGAACAGGGTGGGTGCACCCCCAGAGCAGCGGTCAGTGCTCCAAGTGCATCTGAACACCAGGACCATATACGACAACATGGAATGTCTTCCCTTGCAAATAATCGCAGTCCTGCCTGTGACTGTTTCCCTGTTGTTACATTAACAGAAATGTTTTGGTATATTTATTTGTATTATGGAGTTTTGAGCCATGTCTAGTTGACTATTGAATATTTAGACTGCTAATATAATTATAGTAAATCACTTAATTACTGGAAATGTGCATAATTGCCCGATACTAACATATAATTAAAATGTATAGCAACATTATTAATTCCATTTTTAAAATCGACTTTTTAGGGCTTTTAAAAGATATTTATTAGGAATGATCATGTAGTAC